TTTTGTCGGTGTGAGTGAGCTGTACGCGTTTCTTCACCTTCTGCTTCTGTGGATCGAGCGAAGCATTTTCTTCCGACAATATATATTTTTAAGTATGACAATGTTTCCGCATTATTGGGTTTTAATTTTATTTTTAAATTAGGGTTCTTCAGATTCACAATCTTCTCTCTCTCTTTCTCCCATCAGAATTATACTAAAAGATCTAACCTTTTTCCAGATCCGTGAGTAACTACAGAGACACTGTAGTTTAAAGGGGAAAAAAAAGAAAGATTCAATTTTTGATGGTCGCAAATCTCTAAGTTAAAAATCTAGAGAGAAAATGGGTCAAGATGGGTCACCGGCGCATAAAAGACCCTCTGGAAGCGGCGGAGTACTTCCGACGACGACGTTAACGAACGGCGGAGGAAGAGGTGGTCGTGGTTTGTTACCTCGAGGTAGACAGATGCAGAAGACGTTTAACAACATCAAGATCACGATTCTCTGTGGATTCGTCACCATCCTCGTCTTACGTGGTACAATCGGTGTCGGAAACCTAGGAAGCTCGAGCGCCGATGCGGTTAACCAGAACATCATCGAAGAGACTAATCGGATTCTAGCTGAGATCCGATCTGATTCGGATCCGACTGATTTGGATGACCCTCAGGAATCGGAGATGAATCCTAATGCGACGTATTCTCTAGGGCCTAAGATCACTGATTGGGATAGTCAACGTAAGGTATGGTTGAATCAGAACCCTGAGTTTCCTAGTACTGTTAATGGAAGAGCTCGGATTTTGCTATTAACTGGATCTCCTCCAAAGCCTTGTGATAATCCGATTGGTGATCATTATCTGTTGAAATCTGTCAAGAACAAGATTGATTATTGTAGGCTTCATGGGATTGAGATTGTGTATAACATGGCTCATTTGGATAAGGAACTTGCTGGGTATTGGGCGAAGTTGCCGATGATTAGGAGGTTGATGCTGTCTCATCCAGAGGTTGAATGGATCTGGTGGATGGATAGTGATGCTTTGTTCACTGACATATTGTTTCAGATCCCGTTGGCTAGGTACGAGAAGCATAACCTGGTGATTCACGGTTATCCGGATTTGTTGTTCGATCAAAAGTCGTGGATTGCTTTGAACACGGGTAGTTTTCTGTTGAGGAACTGTCAGTGGTCGTTGGATTTGTTAGATGCTTGGGCGCCGATGGGACCTAAGGGGCCAATCCGTGATGAGGCCGGGAAGGTATTGACGGCTTATCTTAAAGGCAGACCGGCTTTTGAGGCTGATGATCAGTCTGCATTGATCTATCTCTTGCTTTCTCAGAAAGATACGTGGATGGAGAAAGTGTTTGTGGAGAATCAATACTATTTACACGGATTTTGGGAAGGTTTGGTTGATAGGTATGAGGAGATGATAGAGAAGTATCACCCAGGATTGGGTGATGAGAGATGGCCGTTTGTGACCCATTTCGTTGGGTGCAAACCGTGTGGTAGCTACGCTGATTATGCAGTCGAGAGGTGTTTGAAGAGCATGGAGAGGGCTTTTAATTTTGCAGACAATCAAGTGCTCAAGCTGTATGGTTTTAGCCATAGGGGTTTGTTGAGTCCCAAGATTAAGAGGATCAGAAATGAGACAGTTGATCCTTTGGAGTTTGTAGACAAGTTTGATATTCGCAGAACGCAGCAAGTGGAAACCAAACCGCAGAACTAGAGGAAAACAAGGCGATGATAGTCACAGCTCTCTAATTGAGATGGACACGTATAGGTAAAATATATGACACTCACAAATGCAAAGCAAATTTGTTTGCCTGTACTTGCTACTTTACTGTTTCTTCTGCTTCTTTTTTTTTTGTTGTTGTTGTTTGCAAGAACATTTTAGCTGCAAAATTATTTTTCCATAGATGTTTTTGTGTTTTCTTCAGTCAAATATATGAAGAAATTTCATACTTTGTCATTGCTAGTTACACATCTGTTCAAGTTTCTCACACTTAAAACTTGTTGGGTACTAACTTCGGAAGAAAAGTATAGGGAATCTATGATTAGACTGTGGAATCAAGATGACTGTTACATTACGAGTTTGGTGTAACCATTGATTGGTACAAGACAGATAATATCACATACTAACTTCCTCTATCGAAGTTACTAATTTCTCACCAGTCGACAGGACTAAGATTTTTCCTTAATCTTACATGCATCTACAAAACGGGAATAACAAAGGTGACTAACTGACTGACCAGGAAGTGACGGAGGAACGATCCTTCCTTGGCTGGATCATTTCTTCGAGTGGATTACCAACTTTCTGGCTGCTAGACGTATCCCTGCCATTTGCTGATAATCGTAGGGCTCAAGTGAGAAGAAGGCATCAACCAAGGTACCAGGAAGTAATGCTGACTCGAGGTTTTCAAAATCATCGGTACTGAAATCAAGCTTTTGAATGGTTTCCAAAGATTCTTCTTTCTGGTAAACCTGGGTTCCACATCTGGCATCATCTCCATTGGATTCTGAGCTTATTCTGTCAACCAGATAAGAATGGATTTAGAAATTAGGGACTCTCAGTATGTTAAAGTTAGAGAGAGAAGTCAAAACTTACTGCAGTCTGGCTGTTGGATAGTTGGCAAAGCCTTCTTTCCTCATTATGGTTCGCCTCCAATCTGAGCTTGTGCTAGAGTCAATTGATAAGTTATGTGCAACATCATCAGATGCATCCAAGATCTTGCATAAATCAGGAGGTACATCGACAACAATATTCAACCTTGGACGACCAGCATGGTCCACAAACTTCCGGCTTATTCCAAACCGAACTTTCAAGCTGTAGCGACAGAGGTGCAGAGGGGCATCGTTGTGAAACAGCTTCATTCTCAAGCTCCCACGATAGAACGGGATAAGACTTGCGGTGATGCTCGAAACAGAAACTTCATCAACTCCCCAAAATGATTCAACTTTGGCATCAGGAGATGGAGTTGACTCATCTTGCTGTATTACAGTTTTTGCTTCGTCTGCAGCATCTGTCTGAAGAGTTCCAATGTGTAGTTTACTTATTAGCGTGGTTATATCAGATTGGTCTACTTCACTACAAGATGTATCACTTTCACTTTCGGAGAATTCCGTCAGAAGAGAAACGATGGGATGGACTTCTTCGGTTGTGGCATCCACAGAAGACAAACTTGGATCAGTTTTAGGGCTCGAGGAGAAAGAATTCGAGCTTTCACTGACTCCATCAGGCAATGACTTCTCATTGCTGCGTGTTCTCGGACTTTTCCTTGGCGAAAACCAGCTCCTTTCTGTTAGAATGTCAGGAACACTAGACTCCTGCAAACACCAAGTACTTAAGTCACTAGGTGATTTCCTAATGGCTTAAAAGTTAAAAGAGTTTTTCCTTATCCAAGAAATGAGAAGACAGTAGCATTACCAGAAACAAGACAGTTGCACAGTACTTGAGAACTTCAAGATTCAACCGGGCATCATCTAAGCTCCTGCTGATTTATATTCATGTTAAGCACCATTCTGAAACAACTGGTGAATCGCTTAAAAAGGCTCAGGGTATCGTTTACCTGTGAGCTTGATCTCCTAACCCGAAGTATGTAGCAAGTGATGCCATCTGCATTGGTTCAAAGTCGAAAACTTTTCGAGGTTACAAGATCATATCTATGAAGATAACAAGAAAGCTACATGCTTTGTTGAGATTAACACTGAGAAGACAAGAAACCTTCATGTCACCAGCTCTCTTCCCAAACTTCTGAGTCAACAATGAAAGCGTATCGATTATAGCTTTAGGTTCCGGTGGAGATTGACCAATTGCTACAAATGCTTCTCTTATTCTTACACAATCGAATCTCTTTATGTTATGTCCCGCCCAAATTCTTCCTACAGAATCACACAAAAATTAAAACATTTCTTCTAGCTTCCTAAGAGTGAGGGTGAGAGAGAGAGAAAACCCTTACCGTGGAGAATGTCGTAAACATCACCGGAGATTTCGGAGAATGTGGATGCAGAGAGGACCGCGTCGCGCGTAATGCCGCTTTTCCGCTTCGTGAGCGTGGAGATGAGAGAAAGATCGGTAGGTCGAACCAAAGTGGAGTAACTATAGAGCTCAACTAGCTTCCTAGGACAAACTAAGATAGAACCAAACTCCAGAATCGCGAATGGCTTCCCCGATTTTGTCGGAACCGCTGTCTCAAGGTCGAAAAACGCAATCTCGTTTCTTTCGCCGCTGCTCAGAGTCGAAGAAGCCATTGTTGACGACAACCATCGAGTGAACCACGATGATTGGTGGGTTTTATTAAACCGAGAGAATAAACCGGTCCAAATCATAAGCTATTACTGTACCGGTTTAAATAACCGGAGTAATTGTGTGTAGGATTGTACCAAACCAGTGAAGGGAGACACTGTAACAGAGCAACAACTTTTTCCCTCTTTCTTCTTCGTTTTGCTCGATTCAATTCAACTATGGAGAAGTAGATGGAGAGCGAGAGAGAGTGTGTTCCTAAACACAAGGAAGCACCACTTCTCCATTACTAAACACTTCTCGTTTTTTTTTTTTCCTTTTTTTACGGAAACAAATAAAACTAAAACCCAAGACGCAACTGTAAGATGCGGTTTATTTTGCGTCGTGTTTTGTCATCTGTAATCAACAAATCGGAATCTTCTGTTCGTCATTATGATGCGAAATCGCTTAAATCCAACCACACTTTGAAGCATTATCTTGAATCAGGAGAGCCAATCAAAGCTCTGTTAAATTTCCGGCATCGATTCAGACAAAGTCCTTGTTTCATAGACAGTTACTCCGTCTTGTTTGCAATCAAAGCTTCATCAGCTCAGAAAGATTCTTCATTTGATGGTAGACAGATTCACGCTCTTGTAAGAAAACAAGGGTTCGATACCATAATTCAAATTCAGACATCCTTAGTAGGTTTTTACTCTGCGGCGGGTGATCTTGATGATGCACGCCAAGTGTTCGACGAAACGCCTGAGAAACAGAACCTCGTCTTGTGGACGGCTATGATTTCAGCTTACACCGAGAACGAGAACACTGTGGAAGCCATTGAGCTGTTTCAACGAATGGAAGAGGAAAATATCGAACATGATGAAGTGATTGTGACTGTGGCTCTATCTGCTTGTGCTGATCTTGGAGCTGTGAAAATGGGAGAACGGATTTATTCGAGTAGCATCAAGAGAAAACGAAGATTCGGTATGGATTTAACTCTGAGAAACTCACTTCTGAACATGTATGTGAAATGTGGGGATATTGAGAAAGCGAGGAAACTGTTTGATGAAACAATTAGAAAAGATGTGACTACTTACACATCTATGATCTTTGGATATGCTTTAAATGGTCAAGCTCAAGAATCTTTAAAACTCTTAGAGAAAATGAAGACGATTGATTATTCATCATCGGTTACTCCAAATGATGTAACTTTCATAGGCGTCTTGATGGCTTGTAGTCACGGTGGTTTAGTGGAAGAAGGAAAACAACATTTCAAGAGCATGATTGAAGATTACAATCTGAAACCTAGAGAAGCTCATTTCGGATGTATGGTTGATTTGTTTTGTCGTTCAGGTCGTTTGAAAGATGCTCACGAGTTCATCAATCAGATGCCGATAAAGCCAAACGCGGTGATATGGAGGACGTTGCTTGGCGCTTGCAGTCTTCACGGGAATGTTGAGCTAGGTGAAGAAGTTCAGAGACGGATCTTTGAGTTAGATAGTGATCATGTCGGAGATTATGTTGCCTTGTCGAATATCTACGCTTCTAAAGGAATGTGGGATGAAAAATTGAATATGAGAGATCGCGCGAGGAAGAGAAGAGTTCCTGGTAAAAGCTGGATTGAGCTCGGAAGCATTATCACTGAGTTTGTTTCAGGGGC